TTTTTTTTTTTTTTTTTTTTTTGTTTTTTTGGCTTATTTTTTTTTTTTAGCTTGAAATTTTTTTAACAAAATGTTGTTGGTGATTAACAGATTGTAAAGTTTTTTTTTTATTGTAAAAATTGATCGCCCAATATTCAACGAATAAAACGTTGTGTTTACAAAACAGTAACATTTGTTTACTGCGAATAAAATTTATAAAGCAAAAATGACCAAAGAAAAATTGTCAATTTTTTTTTTTCTTTATCGAAATTTATCTGCAAAAAAAAAAAAAACTTTTATGGTTAAAGAAACTGTTGAAGCAAGTTTCTATATATATATTTTTTCAATGATGATGGCGATGATGATGACAGGACACAGTGTTGCCGTTGTTTGTGGTTGCTGACCATTTGGGAATAACGACAACGATTGTTGAGGCCATTTACAAATAATATAAATTTATAGACAAAATTCACTTTTATTTCCTTCTATCAAATTGCTTTTCTTTTTGTTATTATTATTATTATTATTGTTCCAAATCTGTTCAATAAAGCAACAACTATTATTTCATTTTTTTTTTTTTTAATTTATCAAATGTTCTCGCAGATTACTGTGGTACTCTTTTTTTTTGTTTTGTTTTTATTACTAATTTATTTATTTCTTTATTTCTTTATTTATTTTTTTGGTTCTTAAATGAACGCTATTAATAATTGTTGAATTGTCTGTTTGTTTTGATTTATTTATTTCTAAACTTTAAGTAGTTTTGGCTAAACATTTTTTATCGGTATACTTCCTTCAAAAAAAGTCTAAAAAAAAATTACTCCAAAGTAACTGAAGTTGTTTGAAAAGTAAACAGTGTTACAAAATCACCACATCGTTTAATTTAATTGTTGTTTTTTTTTTTTCAGTCACTTTTTACTCGTTTTATATTACACAGCAAAAGTCACTGTTGCCAATGTTATTGCCACTGATAACTACTTCATATCTGCTTCTATTATTATTGTCTCCAATATTTTCACAACTTGCTGATCCATTTGGTAAAGCTGTTTTTGACTGCAATCGAATACACCTGTCATATTGTTGTGCATCCAGAATTCGAAATTCTTGTCAACAACGATGTCAAAGTGTTGAATGTGTTAACAGTGCGCCAAATACCGGTAGATTTTTGTTTTTGTTTCAATAATAACAAATGTTTCTTAACAGAAATCACTATCAATCAGTCTGAGAGATTAAAAAGATAAGTCTACACGAATTGTTTTTTCTCTCAACAATTAATTCTAAAAGTTTTGCATAAAATACTTCGTTTTTTCTTATCGACAAACCTTTTTCCTGCTCTTTAACATCGCTTAATCGCATTTACTCAGAACTGTTTATACGTATTCATTTGTCATCAGTTTATTTCGATTCAACTTTTGAGCTTCTAATTTCTATTTTTAAGCATCGGGGTGAGTCACCTTTATGACATTTAGTAAAGAAACTCTTCTGAAACTCGTTTATTTGTCTAACAAATACAGCTTATGATTAAGCAACAAATTGAAGTTTTTTTTTAAATTTTCAGTTTTTACGTCATTTTAACAGAAACAAAGAGAGTACGTTTGACAGTTATGTTGTTAGACTATAAAGGATGCTGAATATAATGCAATGCTTAATAAACCTTCAGAATAAGCCGGTTTTTAATTGAATTTTGTAAATATACTAAGAAAAAATTTTTTACTGTAATTTGTCAGCGTCTTAGTTCTCCTTTTCTGTCCAGAATGTTTTTTTCAAAACTCAAGGGCTTCTCTATGGTCTGTTCCCATTAAATTCCGGCTGTTTAAATTCAGATATTGTCTCAGGCTAAAATATTCAACATTATCACCAATCACAATTACTTATACTCATTTGCGGAATAAAAAGCGCTACTCTTCTTTTGCAAATTAGCGTCAATAACTTTTGAAAGTAATTTTTCAATAATTTTATAAAAGTACTGAAACAATCATTCAGCAGTGATAAAATTATCAGCAAATAAAAAAAACACTTGGCTTTTTAACTGATTTGTTCTTAATAAATGAAGACATCTTTGATCAACTGAGATTTACTCGCATAGCTTTCTAAGACCTTTAGGAGTGTTTTTGGGACCAAGACGAGAAGTTGAAACGTTTTCAAGATGGCTGTCAAACTCTGGAGTCCTCGGTACGAAACACGATGGCGAAGCTCTGAGCAAGACTCCACGAAGAGTAGAAGAAACAACAGAACCACTGGTTTACACTTCAACAGAAACACTTTCTCCAGTCACCCCATTTCCGACGTTGATACCTTTGTCTTTGCAGAACAGTGGCTCTAAGCAACCGGATTCACCGCATGTCTTTTTGGTTACGGCATCTCTACCACAGGTCCGTTTTGAATTATTCAATTACTGTTTGTCTAAATCCATGAGCAATTTACATATGACTATTTATAACAATTGCATACCATTGCCAAATTTTTTATGCCACCTGCAAAGGTTACATATGATTTTTGAAGAAAAATTTTTACTGAAAGGAGCAATAGTGTTAATATTCGTAAAAAAACTAATGAATTG